TAACTCTAGTTACCGGCACTGGTCATGCACACGGTACACAGACATGCAGGCAAAACACCCATACACAATAAATAAATAAATAAATAAATAAATAAATAAATAAATAAATAAGCACAGGATGGTGGTGGTGCACACTTTTAGTCCCGGCACTCAGGAGGTAGAAGTAGGTAGATCTCTGTGAGTTCAAAGCCAGCCTGGTCTACAAGGCTAGTTCTAGGACAGCCAAGAAACCTTGTCTTGAAAACAAAAGAAAAGAAAACGAAGGAAGGAAGGAAGAGAAAGAAAGAAAGAAAGAAAGAAAGAAAGAAAGAAAGGAAAATTACTAATCCTATTTTTTTTTTCTTTAAAGAAAAATTAGCTTTAAAAATATTCTTGGGACTGGAGAGATGGCTCAGTGATTTAGAGCACTTGTTACTTCTTGCAGAAGATCTGGGTTTGATTCCCAGCACCCACAGAGTGGCTCACAACCCTCTGTAACTCCATGGATCCCCACGGCTCACTGCACAACACGGTCAGCTCTTCTCCTACCTGGATATAAGCTCTCCCTCCAGCTGTAGAACAACATGAATTTCTTGTTGTGGATAGTGACTACTTCTACTCGACAACCCTTCCCCCTGAAGTACCTGCCAGAACCCTGAGCGCATAAAATTAGGTCACAGCTGCCCAGGGGCCCTTCTCCCACCAGCAGGGTTACTATGCCTACAGCCCTCCACACCTGCCCTCCACACCATGCTTCTCCTGTGACGAGGCTCCCACAGTAACCACAGTTCAGGGCAGCTCTGTGTCCATGAGCCACAGGGTTCTTCTACTGGGGTGCCCTGTGCTTCAGACACCACACCTAACCACACACAGACACCAGGTCAGATCCTGGCAGGCCCCAGTGATCATGGCGACGGGCGGGAGACAGACGGAAAAAAGGGGTAAATGAGAGGTGACCTGAAAGCTCTGCTGTTGTGTTCTGAGTATGCTGGGCTCAGTTCCCTCATGAGCCAAAGCTAGAGACACCAAGCATGCAGCTGCACCTTCACTAAGCTCCACAGGCTATGCAAATCGACTATTTTCCTGTGCGTCCTACCTCACTGCTCACCCTCTACCAAGAAACTGAAACCTAGATTTTTCTCAACTCTTCTTGAATGCTGATAACCTAAAAGTTGATTGTCCTCTGCTTGCACTGGATCCAGCACCACGTCAGGAGCTGGATGGGTGCAGGCTATCTGGCAGACCTCTTCTGTAGGAGATAACCTTCCAGTTCACCAGCAAGCTTTCCTAAGCATAAAGGTCAATTACCTGTTCACAGCTTGCCGAGGGACTCCAATCTGAAAGGGGCAGAAACGAAGCTTTCAACGTGCGTGTGTCTGCTACGATAAAGGGCAGATTCCAAGGGCTCTGCTTTTAAATCTCTATAATGGGGAAGATAGGCATGGTGGTGCACCTTCAATCCCAGTGTTAAAGAGGCAGAGACAGGTAGATGTCTATAAATTCAAGGCCAGCCTGCTTTACATAAGTTCTAGGCTAGCCAGGGCTACACATGAGACCCTGTCTCAATAAATAGATAAATCATAGGGCCACTGGAGTTGTCTCTGCAATTAAGAGCGCTGGCTGCTCTTGCAGAGAACCCAGCTTTGACTCCCAGCCCCCACATGGTGCCTCACAACCCTCTATAACTCCAGTTCCAGGGGATGTGACCCCCCCCCCTCAGACCTTCAAGAGTACCATGCACACACACAGTGCACATGTAACATGGCAGACAAAAGACTCATACACATAAAACAAAAGCAGTTAAGCGCAATTGGACATGTCTAGAAAGGAGGTAAAACCGGGAACGGTGCACACTAACGCAGCACTTAGGAGGTGGAGGGCAGGCGCGGAATACAGCGTGACACTTTACTCCCCTGAACACGAGAAGTTGAACGCATAAGCCAACAGTACTGCCAGGCGGGGCTCCACGGTGCCATCAGAGCTCTTCCGAGAGCCAGGAAAGGTCAAACGATCCCTGCTGTTTTCAAAGCCCCTTTAACCAGACAGCGAACCTCTAAGACATGTGCTCTGTCTTCAGCACACGGTACACTCGCTGCGCTCTAAAGGGTTTACTTCCAATACCAAACTGATAGCTCTTCGATCCCAATGTATTTTCCCACAGAACGGTGGGAAAAGTCCAAGGCCTGCACAGAGACAGACAGGAGCAAACACAGGGCAAACCTGGATAAAACATTTGTTTGTAAAAATGTCAACGCTACATGACACAGTTTCTTTTTATTTTTTTTTTTAAAGAAAAAATAAAACCTAAGTATTACGCTTAAGAAGCTCATGGGAAGAAAACGATGGAGGTTCTGAGCATGAATCTCCAGCACACATTTCCTCGTCCCGTGTGGAATCCGGTCCAGGTAAATTCTCTACCAACCTCTAAGGGGAAAAGCTAGTTCCGATACTAAAGCAGACCAAGCTGGCAGGCTCAGCTAGTCACAAACGCACCAGCTACTCAGAAGGCTGAGGCAGGAGGATCGCTTAAACCTAGGAGTTTGAGGCCAGCTCTGGCATCATATAGGGAGGTGCTCTTCCAACTCAAAAGGGAAAGAGAGATGATAGAAAAGAGGCGGAGGGAAGGATGGAGGAGGGGTGGGAAAGGGTGGTAGAGGGGGGAGGGGAGGAGGGGAGGGAAGACAGTCTCAGCCTTCCCACGATCATTTTATACTATATGATACTTGAGTTTTCCGTGCTTAGTCCCTCTAGTTCCTCCGCAAAGAAGGTGTAAAGGTGAACAAATGGGTGATGAGCGCTCTTTTTCACCACCCTGCACAGCTCTACTGATAATGGCTTGCGAGCATGCCCACATGTGGGGTGGTGAGATGGCCCAGTGGGCTGAGGCCCTTGGTGACAAGCCTGACAACCCAAGTGTGATTCTGGGGCAGGCAGAGCAGAAGCAGAGAATCAACCCTGGACCTCCTGACCTCCACATGCATTAAATAAATAAGTGTAATAAAAACATTTAAAGATGTGAATGTCCTAATCCTCAAATCTTTTAAAAGGAAAAAGTGTTCCCCCACGTGGCAAAAAAAAGGTTGAAGTTGTGGGTGGCTACAATGCTTAGCCTGGGTTATCCTGGTGGCCGTAACACAAAACTGTCCTTGTGAAGGGGCAGCTGGTAAACTAAGTGGAGAGAGGCTACCCCCTGGCTTTAAAGACTGTCGGGAGGCACACACCAAGGGACGCAAACATGCCCCAGGGGGAGAAGGACAAGGAAGCCGACCTTCCCCTCCAGTCTCTGGAAGGAATACTGCCCTAATGAAATCTTGGTACCAGCCCAGTGTGACCTAATTTGGGCTTCTGACCTCCAGAACTATATAGTAAATTTGGGTTACTGTTCATGGTAGTAACAAGAACCATTTTTCCCCTTCCAAGTAGAAGCCTTGCCTGAGTCAAAGCAGTTACTATTAAAACCAACCAGAACAGCAGCCAATTGCCTCAGCCAGCAGGAAAACACCAGGGGAGGGCTAGAGCAAAGCATGGCAGAACCCTGGGGCCCAGGGGCAACAAATGACCAGAGTTAGTGAGCTTGTGAAGGTTTCCAGCAGAAGAAACTACAGAGGGCCCAAAGGGGCCTGGCAGCAGATGACTGACTACCTGCTTTTCAGTCACAAAGGAAGGCACGCAGTGCCTTTACCTGGAAGGCAGCAAAGGCTAGCTAGCCTGTGTTCCATTCAACAGGCACACACCTCTAACACTCAGGGGAACAGTGTTCACACAACCAAAGCTCAGGGCTGAGCTGTTACCCGTACACCCTCCCTCCTGGCTTAACGAGGTCAGAGTTCTCTATGTGTGACCTGCACAGACCTAACATGCTCACCGTCTGGCATTTGAATACCCCATGGCAGAGTGTAAGGAAGCCAGGCTTGCTGCCTGTGAGGCAATAAACCAGAGCTTGGCGGCGGTGAGCGTGTTAAGTTCCCGATCAGTACTTCCCTGCCAAACCAGAAAAGTTCGCCACTTGCTCTACCTGCCATTCTTTCCTTCATTCCTCAGGGACACAATGCTAACACCACGTCGGGTGTTTCCAAATAAACCTCCTGAGGCTGCAGACACTTTGAGGGACCAGAGCCCTGGCTGACCACCAGCAAGGTTAGCAGGGAGGATCTGCTTCGCGTCTGTCTTGATGGAAGGAGGGTGTAGACTGGTATCTACCTGCAGGCAGCAGCTCAGACTTGATCTCCCTGCCAAGTGTGGTCAGGCCCTGAGTGACAGACCAGACCGGGGACCAGGAGCTAAATCACAATGCGACAGTAGCACGAACCTGGCCTTGGCCAGGGCACCCGTGTTCATGTGGGAACAAAGAGCTGGATGGGGCACATAACTTCTAACACCCGGGAGAGCCGGAAACTATTAGGGATCGCAGGCCGGGCCGGGCGTGTGGCTCCCGCAGCCGCTCGTGGCGCCGCCAGCCAAGCGGGTGACAGGCAGCAGGCGACCCGCCGCGGAGGCTCCGAGCCCAGACACCTGAGCCTGGCGACCCTCGACGCCTCGAGGCTCCAAGGCGGCACCTGATGACCCACCCTGGCGACCCTTGGTGCCCCGGTTGCCCCCGCCGCGGGAGACCCTCTAACCCCGGTGACCCCACTCCCCTCCTGGCGCCCCGAAGACTCGGAAACCTTCAGCCCCAGCGACCCTCGGGCCCGAGCAACCCGGGCACCGGAGACCGTCAGCCGGGGTTTAACCCCACCCTCTCCGGGCGCCCTCAGCCTCGGGCGACCCCTGCCCCGGGCTCCCCGGGCCTGGGGGACCCCCAGCCCCGGGTGACACTCAATTCCCGGCGGCCCTCAGGCCCGGGTGACACAGTTCCTGGCGACTGTAAGGTGCAGGTGGCCCTCAGCCCCGGCGACCCTCAGCCCCGCGACCCCCGGGCCCTCGCATGACGGCGCCCCGGAGCTCCGCGCCCCGTCCCAGGGACACCGGGCGCCGGCGGAAGCGCGCACGGAGGAGCGGCGCACCGGCCGAACCCCACTCACCGTAGTTGTCGTCGTCCTCCATGGCGCCGGCGACCGGCCCCGGCCACTGATCGCCCGCAGCCCAAGCCCTGCCAGACACCAGCTCGCCTCGGGCCAGCCAGCTCCGAGCCCCGGAGCCCCGCCCCCCGCGCCGCGCCGCGCCGCGCCCGCACTGCCCAGCACGCGCCTGCGCACGCGCCGCCCGAGGCCCCGCCCCCGGCAGACGCCCCGCCCCCGTCGGAAGCGCGCGTGCGTTAGCGCGCCCCCACGAACCCCCCCAACCCCACACCGACTCTTTGGCTTGCGTTTACGCACGCGCCGTACCATATAAACGGCCCCGCCCCCAAACCACGCCTTCGCTTTTTTTTTAATAAGCACCGCCCCTTGCGCTCCGCGGGGCGGGGCGGGGCGGGGCGGGGCGGAGCAGAGTTTCGGGTTTCGGGTTTCACAAGCGTGCGTAGGACGCGGGCGTGGCTTGCTGGCCAGGCGGGCGCTCCAGCCACCAGGCTGATTGCGGAGACCCAAGGTCGTGGGTGCCCGCGAAGGGAAGCTGGCCCAAGCTGAATCCGCCTTGCACTCCAGCTTGCCGAGGAGGAAGTTAGCCAAATTCACTGAGTTCGGTACTGGCGTTTCCTACCTGTCCAGTCAACTGCAGGTGTCAGCGTGGCCTTGGTAGCCTCAGCTCCCGGCTCTGCTGCTTTCTCTGGCTTGTACTGGGAGGACCAGTTGATACTCCTTTGTAGTGCTGGCCAGGGCCTGTCCTCCCTGCATTTATTCTCCAGGAGGTCTCTGCAGAATTAATCAGTAGAAGCAACAATTAATGATCTGGAAAGTCCCTTAGGGAACACCCTGTCCTGTGTGTGAACTCTAGACAAGTGACACTTAGGGCAGGAGCTGCAGCTCTGTGACAGAGCAGTTGCCTGGCACGTGGGAAGCCCGAGGTTGCATCCCAGAGACCAGAGAAGAGAGAACACTGATTCCCAAAGAGTCAAAGGTCACACGTAGCTGGGGCATCACCAGGCGAAGGGTCCCTGTCCAGGCTGTCCTCCAACACGATACCACACAAACACTTCCTACTCCATTGAGGTCCTACGTGGCCCTTTAAAATAATTCCAGAAAGGCCTAGGGTAGTTAGTGGTGCCTGCCTCCTGCATGCCTGTTAGTCAGTCCAGCCTCCCTGGAAGCTGAAGTAGGAGGACGCCATAATGAAACTCCATCTCAAAAAACAAAACAACTCAAAATGCAGCACAAGAAGTACAAAGGGACCGAAGGGGACACTGGGCAGAGGCTGGAAGGCCAGAGCCGCCTAAGGGCAGCCCCAGACCCAGCCTTCTCCCTTCATAGCTCCCCTTTCTCTGTAAATCACTGCCTGGACAGCTTCGTGGGAATCTCCCGGCTTCCCGGGGAAAGGAGAGTCAGGTCCTTCTCTCCCCAGTGCATGACCTTTGCTGCACACTGTGTGCTGCGTGGTCCTGGTGGGTGGCCTGTAGCAATCCTTCCTGCTCTAGGGGTGACAGCCTAGAATGTAACTGCTCAGGATCTGTGGTAGGCGGGCTGCAGGAAAGACATGCACGTTTCCTAGAAGGACATATGGGAAAATTCACCAGAAATAAAAGGTAAAAGGGGACGTGGAGAAACCAGGACTTATTTATTTATTTATTTATTCATTAAAGATGTATTTGTTGTGTATACAATGTTCGGCCTTCCAGCCAGAAGAGGGCACCAGATCTCATTGCTGGGAATTGAACTCAGGACCATCTGGAAGAGCAGCCAGTGCTCTTAACTGCCAAGCCATCTCCAGCCCCTTTAGAGACTTTTTAAAAAGTTTTTATGTATGTGTCTGTGTTAGTGTGTGTGTGAATATGTGTGTATGAAGGTATCTATGCAGGCCTTGGAGCTGGAGGTACAGGTGGTTGATTGTGAGCCACCGGAAATGGGTGTGTTTGCATACACAAATATCAACAACAAAAAGGTGGAGTTGGAAAGATGGCTCAGCAGTCAGGATCACGCGCTGCTCTTGCAGAGGACCAGATTCAGTGCCCAGCACCCACCAGGCACACGTGTGATGCACATACATACATACATACATACATACATACAAACACACATAAAACGAAAATAGACACATCTTTTCCTCCTCCTCCTTATTTCAAGAACTTTAAAATAGGTTTGGTGAGGCTGGAGAGATGGCGGCCTCATTGAAAGCACATGTTCTTGTAGAGGACCCAGGTTCAATTCCCATCACTCATATAGTGGCTCACAACTATTTATAACTCCAGTTCCAGAAGATCCGACACTCTTCCGACCACCAGGGCAGTGGATGCGTGTGGTAGACAGATAGCCATGCATCACACTAACATCCACGTACTAATAAAATTAAATTTAAAATAAAAAAATAGGTTTAGCTTCCTCGGGCCTTTCGCTATGGTGTTCTCTTTGTTAGTTGATCCAATTGACAACTCTTATTTAATGCGTCTGTCTGTCTATATGTCTGTCTGTGGAATGCTCAGCACCTTCCACACTTTGCCATGTGATTATACAACATGCTGTAGTTCGCCAGTTTTCATTCTAACTCCCACGCCTGCCTCACTCTTTCCCCAGGTTCAAGTCCTGGTCCCTGCCTGGGCCCCTTCTTTTGAACCCTCTGCAACCTTCTCAGCCGTTGTACTCTGCCTCCGTGGCATGTGAGCCACGCCTTTGCCCCCTGCTCGTCTTATTCTGCCAACAAGGGTACCCACTGTGTTGCCTCTGAGGAGTTTGTTGCCTGCTTATCCCAGGAACATTAGGAAAAACAAAAGCCAACGACATTTTATTGAGAAGTTTACGCAGCCAGGCAGTGGTGCGTAAACCCCAACATGTGCAGAGGCAGGTGGATCTCTGTGAGTTCAAGGCCAGCCTGGTCTACAGAGGGAGTTCCAGGACAGCCAGGGCTATGAAGAAAGACCTTGTAGAACGGGAAAACTCTGCATTTTGGCTACTTGTGGGTTTCTATAGGGGTCTCCATCTGTTGCAAAAAACATTTCTCTGATTAGGAGTGAGAATTACACTTATCTCCGGGTATAAGGACAAATACTTAGAATACAGTGAGGGATCATGCTGGTTTAGTGCTGTGGTGGTTATACGTTCTCCTTTAATGTGTGACTTCACAGCATTGAGTAATCGGCTTGGTTTCTAGTATTGGGCGTGATTCCCCTCTTGTTCCAGGGTTTCAGATCTAATTAGAGAGCTGTTGGTCACCACCAATGCATGTGCGCCACTACTGCACCCTTAGTTTGTCTGCCACGCTGGCATCGTTGTGCTCCATAGGCGGCGTCACAGGTAGGGAGGACTGTGGGCTGTTCCCCTCCTTTGGAAGCTTGCATGGTACCTTCTGGTGCCATGAAGCTAGTCCTCAAGGAGGCTTTGAGGTCCGTTCCAGCATGGTCTCTTCAGCAACAGGGACTTACAATCTTGTGGGACAGGGGTGTCACTAAGGGCAACAGCCTACAATGTTTTGGAAATTTCTTGGACAACCTTGAGGAACAACTCAAAAGACAGCTTCTGGTGCCTGGTGTTGGGTTTTTGTTAGTCTAAGGCTCTCGGTGGGAGAACTGTTGGCCCAGATGGGAAACTCCATTTAATCTATTTATACACTGACTTATTTGTACTGTTTTTAGCTAGATGGTTCATAGCAGTAGTAGTCTTTATGACTTTTGCAGACACCCTTACTGCTATTTTACCCCCCCCCCGTTTGTTTCTTCTGTAATTATTTCCCTCCCCAGCCCTAATTAGAACCTCGTTGTCCCTGTTCCTCCCTCGGGTCCCGTGTACCCTGCTATTCCTCCTTTCCCACCCGCCCTACAATCGCCCACTTTCCTTTCCTGGTTTCTGCAGTCACTCCAGGTTATACACTCACACCCGAAGACTTGAAGCTACCAACTGATAATCTTTAAGAGGGTCTCTCCTACCATCCACCTCAGCCTTCCATTATAACTTCAAAAATTAGAATATGTATATGTATGTATTAGCAACAATAACCCAAGATGTCCTTGTGGTAAAGCATCCTCAGAGACTATTGGCAGGAGACAGACTGGGTATGTTGTTCTTGCCTTGTATAAGAGCGTTGGGATAGTTGAGAAATACCGAGGCAGAGCCAGGGAGATGGCCCGGTGGGTAAAGGAGTCTGCTGCCAATTCTGCTCACTTGAATTCCATCCCAGGGGACCCCTCTGACCGCCACATGGACACTGGCAACCACCCTGAGATGAGTGAAAGTTTTAGCATTTGTTTGTTTGGCAGAGAGGAGAGCTGGAGAAACGGCTTAGCTGCCAAGAGCACTTGCTGCTCTTGCAGAGGACCCCGGTCAGTTCCGGAACCTACACCGGGCAGTCCACACTCTGGAGTCAGGGTCGGACACCATCTCCAGGCCTCCTCTGACACCTGTACGCTCATGCGCACAGACATACACTCTCACACAGTCACATGGAACAAATGAACTTTCTTTAAAGCGTAAGAGCGTTAAGTGGCTTTACCATGTTTACATTTTTTGAGAAAAAGATTGAGACAGATTTCTGTGTTTACTGATACAAGATGATTTCTAAACGTAAGGAAGTGGGAAAAAGTAAAAACAATAGCACACACACATTTGTCATACAAAAAAAAAATAAAAAATAAAAAACCCCACACATACAAGCAACACACGTTTGTCCTTCTACATCCAGTCCTTCCATATGGGTCCTTTCTAGGCTCACGATGGGGACATGAGCGGGCTCTGGTAAGCCCTGCCCTGTGAGTTCCCTAACAGAACCTTTCTGCATGGTCATGGCTTGACTTGTACACCACAAAAGATGTGTTGAAGCTCCAGTCCCCATTGCCTGCAAACACACCATATTTAGAAACTACGTCCTTGGAGAGTGATCAGAGGTCACTAGCGGGGACCCTAGCCCTGTGGGACACAGGCAGCCAGTGGATCCTAGCCCTGTGGGGCACAGGCAGCCAATGGACCCTAGCCCTGTGGGGCACAGGCAGCCAGTGGATCCTAGCCCTGTGGGGCACAGGCAGCAGAGGGGACCCTAGCCCTGTGGGACTGTGTCCTTCTAAGAGGGCGATTTGGACACAGGCAGCCA